ATAGATATGAGGAGGTTAAATAATAATAACAAAAAGATATTGGTCAAATCTCTTGGTTTTGTTGTCCTCAGGGAGCATCTGTTTAACGATTACGCAATATGACGTATAATTGGGGTTTTTGGATCGCTCACTCACATCGACTTTCACCAGAGTTGCGATAGAGAGAGAAAAATCATTAAAAATGGTCTTTCGGACGGCAATGATTAACCTTAGAGTCCCCAGTGTTTTTATTTTTCTGTCGAGGATTTTTCGTTATGCTCTGATGAAAGCTGCTTCTTCTACAGTTTCATGTGAATATATGTTCGATCTTGTATGATCCAAAAAGCTTATAATCTCGGTCGGGGTTTGTCTAGAGGTGATCTTCACTCGAATTCCGAAAGCACTGTCGATCGCCAGAACATGTCAGAGGGTACTAGCTTTCGTCAGATCCGGGTAGTACTGGATAAATACATGTTCGCTACGACAAATATCTACTAAGTTTATCCTAATTGATATGCCGATGTATATACATATATACCTAATCAGCTTCATAGGATTACTTCTTGTCGACAGTTGCAAGTGGACCTAAACTCAACGCCCACAAGAGCACATGATGGCTACACAGTATGGGTTATTAACTGAGTTATTGTTCTAACGGGCGACATAATGGTATTATTTCAGCATGAGAAAAGAAAACCACTTTTTGCAAAAGGACGGACTGACATGTTGATATGTCTAAGTACTGGATTTTTCTTGATGGTGGCAAAAGGATAAGGGTGATGGAATGGAAAAGAAAAGCTTTTGTATGCTTAAACGGCGCTAAGCGTCTCGGAGCGGCCGCGCTCGCAGCAGTAGCTGGAGGCCGGCCGACGTCGTGTGTATTGTCTAGCCTCAACAGTTTTTTTTTCTTTCCCCTGTTTCGTGATGTATACGTGCGATCGTCACCACTGCTCTAGCGACAACTCACTGGCGCTCGATGATGGGTTTCACTGCTAATCGTTATATTCTTATGATTGTTGTGCTATTCCTTTGCAAAGTATTTGCCTCAATTCTCGCTCCACTCCCACCTCGAGACCGAGAGGGGCAGAGGGAACCACAATAGACCCCGCGCATTTTAGTTGCCTTCTAGTGCCAAGCTAGTACCGCAATAAACGCATATATGTATATAGTCGGTCAACCCACTGATTTTGGCGGCAGCAGATATTTTACCACGGTAAAGAGTCACGTTATTTAAAGCAAAGACTATTATGGCCGCCACTACTGCTGACTGCTATGTTTAGAGCAACGTTGGGCGTGTTGGGCTGAATTGTTAGAAATCGGCAAAGAAAAGGAGACCTCCGCAGCCCATCTGATGTCCGACCGGTCACCCCTTTCCGGTGCCGTTGCCGACCGCTGGTAGGTTTTGTGGTGACTTAACTCAAAAAGTGGACGCTTAAGAAGGCTGCAACAGCAGCAGGTTGCATTAGCTCGTCTAACAATCGGCAAGCTGCGTGGCGGCACCATTAATGTGAATGGTCGACGATTCCAGGACGGACCCACACGCAGATAACTGACCCACCGCGTTAAATAGTTGGCCAGGGACTAGACTCTGGTTTAGACTGTGGTACATTGCCATCAACCATAGCAACGCAACAATAGGTAACCAACCACTTTTACCCTGTATGTTTTGAGTTTGTGAACGGTGTCACGGTTAGGCATTCCACTAGACACCTGTTTTCCAGCATAAAACGAAGGTTCGGAACTAGACCACAACATGTCCCTAAGCTTAACAAGCAAATACGTTCTCCGATAAGCTATGACGGGGTGCAGTCTGCACCCACCCTTTAACATGCTGGAATGATGATGATGATGATCCAGTAGCTGCAGCAACAGCTAACGATTGGTGGACAATAACCGGTATTGCATGGTTACAGCGCAATACTGCTCGTAGCGTGACCTGTTTCGAGGCGTGCCTCACTGCAGCATCAGTAGTAATGGCAACATGACTGTTCGTTGTTTGCGAATCGCAGCCGGTGGCGCGTCTTTTTGAACTCAACCAGCGTCCACTTAGCCAGATGACTTACTCGATTCTAACAACAGTTGACTATAAAGTCACCAGAAAACCGGCAGGCCGACCGGCAGGCAGTGTTGGAAGGTCTAGAAATTAGAAAGGACAACAATTTAAAGGACGAAAGGGAGAAAAATAGCGCCGACAGTCGATTGTAGTTTAGCTCTATTAGTGGCTAGCTTCAATACCGTTGTCTTGGTATATCCATGACCCGGATGGGATTCGTGCTTCTTTTACTAGCGGGTACAATGTTATCCGGCGAGCATCCGGCGTTTAAGAGCAATGCGGATCTTTAAGGGATATATTTGCTTGATGAGCTGAAAGCGTAGTAAAATTAAAAATTAAAAAGGTCATTGCAGAATGTATACGGTATTTCATCAAGTATAAACGCCCATTACTGCGAACAGCATCATAGATCGGTAGAGGCCGCATTGCGCTGCCGTTTGTTATGAGCATTCTTTTTTTGGAAGCTATCAGCTGCATTTTCTTTCACCAGAACAGTTACCAGTGTTAATACTATGCCCTACAGAACGGCAAGTACGCGCATACAACTGCTCACAAAAGGCGTTAAAAAGCTGAAAGAAATACTTCGAGACCAGCGACTTAACGACAATAACCACCGTTAAGTCTTTATCTGTGAGTCTTTATTGATGTTTTCAGTGCAAATGGTTAACATTTGATAATTTGTGGGATGCTATTATTACTAGGTGACAAATAGATGGTGAGGAAACACCATAAAGGCCACATAGATGTAGACCATAGACCAACTGGACCAAGACGTAAGGACGATTTGTTCATTCCTCCAATTTGGCCAGTGTCCTCTTGTATATGCATTTTTTGTTCTCGTACAATCAAGTAGGAAGGTGCTATATTACTAGGACGACTTCCGCTGCGGAACTGTGCCACTACCTGCTGATCCGGATTCTCCTTCGAAAGAAACGTAATTACCGCTGTAATAAGTCGCAACTAGAGCACAGCAAAGGAAAATTTATAAGGGGAACAGAATTTTCAAGTTGACGCTTCTCCCCTATTAGAAATCATATTTATAGTGTCAATAATTTTAATTGCAGTCGACAGACAATGAATTAATCATTTCTGTCAGCGGAACTGTTCCACGTTCCCTGGTGCGTTAATTTTCTTCTGTTCGCTCCTGTTGCACAAGTATCATCATTGCCTGAGAACGAAGAAGCTTTAGCACCAGTTACCCACGATTGATATGATTTCCCAAAGAGCGCCATTTTATTCCAGACCACCTCCCTCGCCCGAACTTTTTTTTCATGGACGTTCTTCAATTCTGATCCCCTTGATTGTGACACCCCCCGTCCATTTCAACTCCTTCGTTCATCTTACGCTTCATGCCTGCGTTCGCATAACATATTAATGTCAACCTACGTCCAGTTTATGCGGACGTTATGATTGTTCAAATTTTCAAGATCGCTGCAAATAGTCAGACGCCGTTTAAGTAAGCGATGAGTGTTTTTGAAAAAAAAAAAATAAAAAAAAACATCCTTTGTTTCGTGCGCAAGTAATATCGTAAAAATGCAACTGGTCGTCGTGTTCATCATTAAGAGCGTCGCGTATCTTATACAATTACTGAAATCATAAAGATAGTGACAATGGCAATAATAACACTGGCGATGCCCAAACTACTTCTTGCTCAAACGAAGGTCTAGTCGATAGAACGAAGACACGAAATACACGAAGAAGGTAATGCAGTCGCCGCCGTCAGTAGTAGGCCTATTATCGTTTGTAACGCCACTGCGCTCCTGTCAGTGATGAAATGTTTTCCCCGCTTGGTCCTAGACTTAATGCTGCAGCCAACTGGTCGAAGTATCATAAGAAAACGTACCAGAAATTCAATCTGCTTATTTTGAAGCCATTGCACAGAGCAGCGTAGCCCCATCTAACACGCCCCGCTCAGACGTTTGAGTGCCCTAAAATACAGGCAACAAGCTACAACTCTTAATTGTTTCTCTGGCGGTCAGAGACTTCGTTGGCTAAAGTAACTAGCCGCAAGCCATCTAAGTGCCAGACGCAGAGTGTTAACTTACTGCGAAATTATTATCATGAAACGACGCAGGATATCAAAACAATAATTCTACTCCCACCAAATGCATCTACACCATTATTCCCCAAATAAAACCATATCCCACAAGTTATGGATGCATAGGAAGACTGCTGAGGGACAGGAAGACAACAGCGGAATACGTCGCCTAATCCTGTTTGTCGATACCGGCAACGAAGCAAAAAAAATATGCCAGGCAGATGCTCGCAGGATTGAACTGCTGTTCATTGTTATGCTCAGTCGATTATTATAATGATCATATTCATATAAATCGCTATAATTAATCCCTATGGTAAATGGATTTTCGCAAGATTTCTTTCATTCTATTTTTACGTGTTGTACTTTTATTCAAATTTATCTTGTGCACTCTTATCGATATTGGATTTCTCTTTTATCTGTTTAGTGCTATCAGCAGATTATTGCAAATGGTATTTTTGTTCCTTTTATAAGTATTAATTGATGCGAAAAGGTTGCAAGATGGCATGAAAAGCGGGGGGCTTTTCCACCTTTTAAACTGCCACATTTCGATGATTATCGGTGATCTGATCTCTGCATTGATCTTCTTCGTTCAGCACCTAAGCCCATAGCTAGTTTTTCGCGGATCTACGAAACAAGTAACGATGTTGAAAAGACGCCATATCTGACATAAAAAAGCTAGTTGGACAACGTCATCTCTTCTGACACTTCATCATTGGGACTCGATAGATGATGAACATGCTTCGATTCTTACGAAAAAGCCGACGAAGGAAACCAACTGAAACATGTGAAAATATCCTCAGGCTACAACATGTCCTACATTTTGCCGTATATACTTGTCCTATTGAATATATATTCATTATCATGTTTAACATTTGTTCCTTTATTGTTGTTACAGTCCGCGTCATCCTGTCAACTCAATACTTCATCGAGTTCGTCTAATTTTTCGAGTAACGGATCAGGCTTCCTGCATCAACAGCTTTTGCAACTTCTCGCTGAGAACAATCACCTGAAGCAGATCAATGTAAGGGCGCAAATAATGATTTTCGCGTATAGATAAAGAGCGGCAATTTCAAAATGTTAGCGGCATACTAAATAGCATCTCTCGGTCGCTCGTTTACAGTTGTATTATGCACTGTTTTGTGTGTACACACATAAAACAAGGTCTGCATTTTATTCATCAGCTATCGGCCAACATCTTCAGCTTCCTATTGGTAGCTAATGTCGAAGTCTGTATCATATGTTACGGACCTTCGCCATACTGTGCACAGAGCGCGTGAAAACACGGCAACATGTATTACTATGCACAACCCGCTAAGACATAGCGAGCCTTTTATGAAGTAGGAATATAGTCCACTATTCCACTATTTGACATATAATACAAGGATGTGCTATTACTCGTGGCCTGTCATCTCAGAAGTAGGAAGACTGCAAACTAAACATGATACAGTTTGACCTCGAGCGTCACAGCCATAAAAACCGAACGACTATGATCACGGAGGCAGCAGCACGATGGTGGCAGCGGACTGTGCAGGAATAATTCGTCGACAATTGGCAGAATTACTCTTCTTGTCGTTATTGATGTGTGCATCTCTGTCTGAGTGTACCTATCTACACACACATACATATATAGATATGCGTGTGTGCGTTTGTTTGTTTGCATCTGAATGTTGAATATCCGATTAAAGAACGGTTAAACAGCCAGGCGTAATTGCTCAGCCGCTCACCTCAACTACCGCTCGAAACAGTCAGTACCGATAGCAGCGACGGTGGCCGGTGCCACCGCATAGAATAACCAGAACAAAAACCCAGAGGAAGGACTTCTGTTAGCATTTATCGAGGAACAGTTAGTACTTGTGAGTTTTTCGACCTAAAGACAATCACTGCGTTAAACACTCCCCCTCAAGCAGCCCGTCTCTGTGTTGTTTCTGCGGGTCTAGGATCTAATTAATGCTATAAATTCCAGAGAGTTGGTGGTCACGTCAATGTCGCAGTGTACACGTAGTTCCGACAGACATTTGTCAAAAAAGGACGGTTAAGGACCCTATTTTCTGTGTGCATGTGTTCACTGAGCTGTAATTTCGATCGATAACTTCAAATCTTCCCGCCAACTGATGGCTAGTGGTAAACATACAAACACACGCTGATGTCCCAAGTAGCGCGCACCACCTGTTTAGTTTCTGACGTGCGCAACATGGCAGTTATGGGACTGGCACCACATGTTGTATGCAGAAGTACGTTTTCGCATGGTAATGGTTATGGAAAATGCACAAAGTGCGACGATAATTAAAGACCGAAAATGCACGCGCACCTTGGCATCGTGCTTTTTGCTCGCTGTTGTCTAATCCAGCTAACTTGCTATAATTGTAAACACTATTATGTCTCTGATTATTAGTGAGACTGGGACTCTGAACGTTGCGAAAAAGCTCACATTTGCTTTCTTGCTGATTGCTGATTTCTTCTCACCGATCACAGTCGATTGTATATCTGTAACTTTCTCGCGACAGAAGAATAATCCGTGCTGTCCACATCTGTAGTGCTACCGAATTTCAAAAGCAGGAACCTTTTATGTTGAAACACTCGTGGATATAATTTAATTTAGCATGGAAGGCGCTCGAAGTACGAGTACCACCTAAAGGTGCTCTCATATACTAGATCTTCGTTAGAAGGCCTATTTAGGCCTTCGATCGAGATGCAGTTAGTTCTTCACCCGATGCCAAACTGTGATAATGACGACGGGTCACAACCGCGAGCAAGTATATGACAAGGTGATCACCTTTCTCCGCTAATAATACATTATCCTCAAAGTCCTTTTTCGAATGCAAATTGCTTTAGAACGGGCAATGGCTTCAGTGACATGAATGGCAATCAGGACAGCAAAAATTTTTTTTTGCCCTGGTTAGATATGAAACCTTTTGACCACTTTTGATCTTCATATTATCATATCCATGCTTATTTATCGTCTGTGTTGCAATTATGCTTTTGTCTGTATGTTTTGCGTCTGTAAACGAGTTTGTTTATGTGGGGTTGGGTCGACTCAAGCACGAGAGAGTCTGTAAAAGCTCCAGGTGTCTACTAGACATACTAACACCTGCTTGTAATATTGGTGTGGACAGGCCTTCTAAGGCCGCTGCAAAGGCTGTGGTTGTTCGTACTGCTGTTATTACCGTAGCCTGTAATGCTCTACGTGAACTATTTCGCGTGGCATTGTCTTTGATTGAATTGAAGAAACTGAGGGGGGCTAGTGCCGTTGTCCACCGACGAATTAGCTACTAAGAGGAACCGAAGTCGATCGTCTCATTAATTGATTGTGTTTTTAATTTACCACACGACAGCAGCAGCAGCAACGATCCGGTGATGCTTGACATATTCTCGATGACACGGTAAGCACATGCAAAGATTTTAGCAGAAACGGTTTAATTGTTATGTTTATTGATTCTTTTGTTCATAGGTTTCCCGTACTGTGTAAATCAAGAGAGACGGACTCTAACATCTATTCCGTGTGACTGATTGGCTACCAGAGCAGCGCTATAAGTTAACAAAACGAATAGCTATACTTTTGTTGACGATTCTGACGGAAGCAAATGTGAAATAAGAATCGCTTTGTCACGATTTGTGATTTAAGGGATGCACGCGTAGGGGGCGATCAGTGTGTTAGAATGGAACACTGAAAAATCAGAAGGTAAACTAATTCGATGCTATTCATTGATCGCTTAGTAGTAGATGAATTCAGCACAATGGCTAACAGCTTCCGATATATATATATATCTTTAGCTATGATATCGTCGTGAACACTTGACAAGTACAAGATTTTTTGATACGCTCAAGTATCTTACGCCTGTTATAAGCTCCATTTTATTCAACCGTGTCAAGTCGTCACTCCTCATTTCCTCATTCCAGAGTTTTGCATCGCATCCGGAGGGCAGAATAGATAAGCGTTTCTGATTGTCTATCAAGCAAAATCTGACTGTCCGCTGACGTGGTAATTATCGAACCAGTCTCCTGCTGCTCAACAGGGAAATAATAACATACTAGACGAAGGGCAAAAATGCTCCGGCATATTCCAACAGCGGAAAGACTAGGAAAGGGTTTGACTATAATTCTAGTTTCACCCTTTCCTGCTCTCTTCTATTTTAGTTGGGTTTATTGATCTGTCTATAGTGCGAAACGTTTGCTGTACTTAAGCTAAGCAAACTTAACATAAAAATAAGTTGAAGTGAGTAACAGAGAAAGCAAGCAAATTTTTTAAGTTGCTTTTCCCTTTGAGCTGGTTTCCCAAAGCCTAAATTCGGTCCGTCTTTCAATGAATTCTAATTCGAATTCAATAGTAATCTATTAGAATTCGAGATCATAATGATTTTCTGCATCACTTGCATTAATATTTTCGTTGCGAACAACGAAAATATTCATGGGCCATTTATCTCGATGTGGCTCTGGTGCTCAATATTTAAATACTGAATCTAGATAATTACATGCTAGACTTACCGTGCGGGCCGATTGTAATGCTGCTCTGAAAAGCATGGGAAAATCAAGCTGTAGGATTCCGACCTGGGATCAATTTTGTGTGTTCTGGCCGGGTTGCCATCAGGTGGCCTACACGGCCCAAAGAATGCCTGCCGCTTGATTGTCATCTTGTGTTTCGGTCATTTCGACAAACGTTAACTTTCGGTCACGCTTATGATCCGCATCACTTACGGATCGTAGCAGCGAACTATGAAACCGATAATTAATTCGCAAAGGAGGTTCTCTTACAAGTTAATACGAATATTCAGGACAGAAATAAATTCAGCCAAGGAAAAAGCTCAGTATTGCTGTGGCTTTTAATTAGTGAAAACACTAAATTATGGATCTTTTTTTATAACAAACATTTAATTATTGAAGCTCGATAGAGAGTCTATAGAGGACGGTTTAAAAAATTCAACCTTAACCTCTTTCTCTTGGCTATCCAAGTTCAAGCGGCGCCTGATTTTACTAAAGGCTTTCCTAGTTGTTTTACTAAATTCCTACGAACAGAGACACACGAAGTTTACAGCACTGAGGATAGAATAGGACAGCACAGCAAAAACGGAAAAGGTTCTATCCACACCTATAAAGATGTTTCTCTTATATCGGGGTACTGTAAGTGAAATCGGAGCATATTTTTCTATAAACTTTGCTATGGAACAGTTAGAATTAGTTATGTTCATGCTGGGAATCCGCTGTCTGCAGCAATATTTGACGGCGTAAGCACCAAAACAACCAAGCTGTCATTGTAACCGGTGAATGACGTTTACCCCCCCCCCCCCCACGTTAGAACTCTTCTTTCAATGATGAGATGGACAAAGGATTCGTAACTACGTCTAGATCTATAATGTAAGTTATCTCTTTTCGTGTGTTTCTGTCACCCGCCCTTTTTTCTTGTCTTACGCGTTAAGAACGTTTTTGGTGAGCTATGAAAATATATGCATAGAATAAGTACCTCGTGGTTTGGCCTAACGCGCGTTTGACGTCTCGGATTGTTTTACGTACATACATCATAAGCTCGATCATTATCTGAATTTAGTTCCTCTTCTGCTGCTTACATCGAGTAAGCGTTGGCGGGGCTCATTTTTGGTGTGGCACTTTTGGAAGCGGACAAAACCTTAAGTACGATACGTCGTTAGTGTGCACTTCGATGACGTACCAATCGTTGGTACGTATCATAGTATTGTGCGTAAAAACCCCGATCATTATAACTTTATTGGGAGTTTTATAGCAAAGTCCGTGTATTTTATTCGTAGTACATTGTTGTAATGTAACATTTACTTTCGTTCTATTCAAATTCGTTTTGATACAGTCTCACTGTAATACGAAATAGAAATATTTTTTTTAGATTTTTGGAAAATATTTTGAACAAACTACGTCTTGATATTAGCTATGCATAATGCATACCTATATAGTATGCAGATGTAGATGTATAATAATTTTTGTACTATAATATCTCCGTGCTCTGATATAACACCATCTTTTCTATTTTCGCATTGTTTAGGACAAGTTAGAAGACCAGCTGGACGAGTATCGTCGTCGCGATGAGAAACGCGACCAACAGCTACGTAAGAATGCCAAGCTGCCTATCGAAGACCAATTGCAACAAATCCGTAATTTACTGGGAAAATTGCGACGCTTATTGCGCAGTGAAGAGTGTCACCTAATGATCGACACCGTTGAACACTATGTGGTCAACAATACGTGCAAGAATTCTTGCGAGAGCAATGGCGCGATGCCGGCGGTGAAGCTTGACCCACTGAGGATCCAGCCCGGACGGACAGCGACCACAGCCAGCCCAGCTCATATACACCGCGCATCAGTTGTCATTGAACAGAAGACAGTCCAGCAGAAGATTCATATAGTTGAACAAAAAGGAAATTGCCGAATCTCTGGAGAACGAAGACAAAAATGAGCAGTAAGAACCGTTTATCGAGAAAGAGGCATAAATAGTAAGTTAACTACTGAGATCGTTACAATATATTAACATGTGCTTGTCGTTAATGGTGGTAACGAAGAGCAGGATAATGTTCAAAGGGTTCTATTGCCAGTTGACTTATATCACAGATACGCTGGGAATTATGTAAAGCGGTTTTTCTCTTCTATATGTTTACATAAGATATACCAAAAGTGAGTACCTTACAATTTTGAGTGTTTACTTATTTGGTGTGTCATTTTTCATAATAATGCTATTTTAGATTATGATACAACAATTGCGTCCATTTTTTTTCGGTGACTTGATAAGCAATCTATCGGCCAGCAAAGTTTACTTGCTTCATATATATATATATATATATATATATGCGTACAGCAGCTACACAATATACATTTACGTCTATGGTTATTTTTGCTATCAGCTGTGACCCGACTGTTTCGAAAGCCAGAACCTATCAAAAACGTGGTCATTATAATACTAATGAAATAGATTATTCGCCTTAGGACATCTTTATGAGCAGAGAGTTCCGACAAAGCTGTGCCAAAAATGACCATCTTTTGTCAACTAACATTTTATTGGGTTGCACCTTACTACTTTTATTACTTTCTATATGATTTAATCAAGTTATTGCCACTCAAATCGATGGGGAAACCGATGGGTTAATTAGCTACGCGCTGCCATAACTGCCTGTTCCCTGTCTTTTATAATCGTTCGTCTGAACTGTATCGCTAGACCGCCTGCTTATTGGAGTACTTTTTCTCAAACTAACCCTGTACGGTACGGTAGTCATCATTTTTTGAAATGATAACAACTACAGCGCAGGATAAAAAGTGGCGCTTGAAGTTGAAACGGATCAGGCGCTCCGAACGTATTATTAAAATTATATTCCACTTGGAACCTGGCTGCCTGCAGTACTCTAATCTAAATGTCGAATGTTTAAAGGTCGATAAAGCAATACGCAGAACGGCTCAGACAGTGCTCACTGAGTCCTATTTTCGACGCGCAGCAATTTTAGGTCTTCGCAAGTTGTTACTCTCTTATATGCATGACTGCCAATATCATTTCGAATCCTCAGAATACAAGTTTTTTCCGTGATTGATTACTTAACTTGATCAACGCAAACGTATATATAATAGGTCGAGTTACCGCTAGTTAAGGCACTTTATTTTTATTAGATAAAAAAACCTTCGCCTCACTACATTACATGTGCCTTTTTCCCATTTAAATGAACGAAGCCTTTTTGCCCTTTCCTTCCGTGTAACGATTTTTACAGATCATTTATTCGAAAGTGAGGCTAAAACGGTTTTACAACTAGACAAAGCAGAAGCAATGGGCTCGAGGGAGAAACACGCTAACACCTTAATGAAGTTCACGCGAAATCAGATATCTATCTACCGATATCGTGCTCACCAATAGTATAAAATTGTGTAAGGATAGAGACGCGGGCAGCGCTAGCGAAGGAGACAAAGAAGCCGAAAGGACTGAAAAAATATAGAGAAAAGGACTGCAGCTGAACGAATGTTGAAAGAGAATCGCTGGCGTTTTAAACAGGTATAACTCGATTAGTCGGATACCACGCTGTGGTAAATCGTACATCGGGCATCTCCGCCAGCTGACCTTCCCTGACTCCGCGCAGGGACATAGAAGATTCATGCTGGTTTAATTATATATTCTGTAATATATAACTAATAATATAATCATTACAGTGGCTAATATTAATTACGACTATAATGAAACTAATAATAATGACCATTTTGTCTAAGTGATCGTGTTTTCATTTGATTTAATTGTCTACTGGTTTCTAGGTAGGCGCAAAATCACCTTAGATACTCGCATAGAATTCTGTCAGACCTATATTAAGGCCTATATTTTTTAATATACGGATGTTCAAGCGAGTTTAAATTACACCATTCGTATGTCGAAGGGTTACCCGCCAATTAGCTGAACTAATCAGTATAGAAGTATCTGTTGTTACCACTTCGGTCTAACAAGACTATTATTTGGTATCTGTAAAAAGAGATATTAGTTTATCTTGTTTGTTTTAACGTTCCATCGTGTAGCATGGGTTTCAAACTCTAGCGTAGGTACATAGGTAAACTAGTCAGGACCGGTTAGCCAACGGTAGTTATGTACACTATGTATTGTTCAAACGTGATCTCAACCTATGTTGATTTCTAGCCCTTTCTCTACTGAAAGTTTAACTGTGTTTCTAACGAATACACAATCACTCTAGCATACAGATCAAAGGTAATAACAGGGCAATTGTATTATTTTTCAAAGCTGCTTACGATTAGTACGAATTATTCAGTCACTGTCTAACTTCGGATGTTTTCGTATTGTGAGTGAATATGCACCAGTGAAACGTGCATTTATTCTCCTAATACACTTCAAAACAATCAAGTAAATCGGGTTTCTCGTTTCTTCGGAAACTTTTTTTCTACACGGACCCAACGATTCAGTCGAGCCCAGAGTAAACACAATCGCCTCACGATAAAGCTCCGTACATCTAGGTCGAGGTTTTCGTGATCGTTCTAAGCAGTTATAGGCGGATACGATATTTCTCGACTACGATTCGGCAAGGATAGTATTGCCGTGGCCAGCGGTTCAACAACGATCCGTAATATTGATTTGGCCAACGTAAACCGCGTAAGAAAAAAGCGGCAATTTTTCAACAAAGGCTGCGTATCGACAGATAGACACCCGCTATCCGCTGACGGTGCGACACCCGCTATCCGCTGATGGTGCGCGGGAAATGAGAGCTTCTAAGAGAAACGAATCGTGAGCGCTGGGCGCATGACGGATGTTGCCTAGGCCTAACTCCGACAAGATATGTTCGATAGCACAAACGGCAGCAGCGTTGGTCCCAGTGGCCACCGTCAAGTTAACTAAGGCGAACATAGCTGTCAGAATGGACAAAAGGTTCAGGCTAAAAGTAGCAGATACGGTGCTTGCTTAATTTTTGTGTGGACCTCGTTTAGCATCGTCGTTCTCTTATATGCCACGCAATGGCGGCCAGGTAAAATGATTGTGGTGTTAGAAGCAGCAGTAGCAACAGAAACAACAACAACGACCACAATAATGGTAAAAACGATTCGAGAACGATATTATGGACTACCACTCATAAGGTACCTGTGATGATGTTTACGAGTCAGAGAAGATATTGAATGTTTACATGACCGCTGCCTACATGTAACGCTTTTTTGTCTCAATTCTATTATAGCAATAGGTGATCTATGATAGTATTTTTTTTTAGTATCGAACGCCAAGGGTTGAAGTGGCAAAAAATATTTACAATTTCTTGGCCGCCAAGACAACGCGCTGAGAAAACGGCGCAAAAGTAAGTGATAAGCATTTTCCGCCACCGCTAGCCTTCATACATTTAGCGCTCCAGCCGAGCTGCTTGTTGCTAACAAGCAGTGAACCACCCGTGCTAATAATAATAATACTAGTAATATTGAGATACTTGCTGTGTCGACAATTAACACTTAACCATTGATAGCGACAGAATAACGATTTTTCACATATCGGTCCTTTACTGGCTGATTGCAGAGCGGCAGCGTGCGTAGAACACTTACCGCCTTTTTTCCCCGTTCATTGCTCCTCTGTTTATTGTAAATATCACGGCGGTTGGTGGCCGTCCAGCTTTAGCTGTACCTCGATCTTCATTGCACAGTACCGAACTCAGTTAAGTGCCTTAGTAAAAGAAAATGGAAGGCCGATGCACACACCGCCCTATATGGACAAAAGATGGCCAGAAGCATAAAGTGTTTAAGTGCAGAAGTGGCAGCAGTAGCAAAGACAAGCAAATCATAGGTAGGAGCAGATGGATGTTGATCGAGTCAAATGAGTCTGCTCACTCATGGGGCCGGCCTGCTTTTGGCTGGTTTGGTCCTAACACAGTTGGACGCTGTGTTCTACAAGTACGACAGATATAGACACATGCTAGGATTACCTCGTAGCCGAATTTCGGTAGAAAATGCATCAAGTGCTGTGGGTTGCGCCCAAAGCAAAACTGACGACTTAATGAAGTGTCCGATAAACACAGCGGGGGGTCCTTAGCATGGTATAGGGGGCGCGCCAGTAAGAAGTTGCGTTTGTAGCGCTGTCCGGTTGTACGGTGACGTGTTGTGGAGTCCACTCCTGCTGCTCATTCGTTTTATGTTATTCCCTGTCCTGTTCTTATTCTGTGATCTGCTATCTGATCCCAATAACTAATGCTTTCGGTGATTGCAGTGAGATGCGGCAGACATACACAATTTATTCCTTTTGTACAACAAACATAACCGTCGATGTCTGGAAGAACTTCGAGCGCTCGTTGTTTCGGCCGCCAGTAGCAGATATAGCATGAATCGGGAGAAAATACGATACGTATATACATATAGTTTACAGGGTACGATTATAGTTAACATGAACAGATGTTTAAGCAAAGATTAGCAGAACAATGTTTCATAGTACAAACCACGGATTTATTAATCGCTGACTCACAGTAGTGATAATTGACGAGCACAATTATTTAGTCTGAACTACAGTCGCCCTGTTCCCTTAATATCATGGTATATATATATAGGCAATCTGTTCCTAATTCAAGCAATGCTCAACAACAGCACCACACATAAAAGTCGGAACATTTACTTAAAGTTATATACCCAATTGTCGCTAAAAACCAAGTTTGAAGATATTCAATCAGTCATGGAAGTGAACAGATTTTCATGAATTACAATTAAGTATCATTGCAGCAAAAAATTTAAGTTTCCGAAACTGAAATTTTTCATTTCGTTGTTGACCCGTCTCATTAAGCCCCATAAAATTGCTTGGCTTAATATCCTAGATATCTTCAAAATCCAGACCCTGTTTTTACAGGTTTCAAAGATATTGAAAACGAGCTCCTAGGACCCACTATTTTAAGACGATTGTTTCATTACAACTTTAATTTGGCGAACGCACAATTAATATAAAATACAGATGTGAAAGATAAGGCTATCTGAGCTTACCACATCTCAAGACTATGTGATACACGAATCAATGAATTGTCGTTCGTGTCATGGGGAAGAAATTTAGACGCATAGCCTATCATTTGTGCAAAATATTATTAATAATTATGATCATGGATTAGAATTTACCGTGGGTAATTATTTATTCCAAATTCATGCCTACTACGACGGGCACATAGGTTTCTATCCAGTTGGGTTAACTTACGAAAACATTACACCTGTTCCTTTCTACACTCGTCGATATATCGTTATTGGGACTGTTCAAGACTCGCTTTTATATCGCATGGAACGGCCTATAATCAACAAATGACTGTTTCACTAGGCAGCAAATTATCATAAAGCATCGCATTTTCTAAGCAGAGTCACAGCCTTTTTTATGGCTGCTTTCGCTTACGTAAATGACTTCTTCGCATGAAACCCATATAGTTCAATTTTTGACCGATCTGACTCCGCTTGGGTGAAATATAAGAACAATCGGCATAAATGTCTTCAACCCATATTTTCTCAAAAATGAATTAGTTGCAATGAACTCGTCTATAGGTCACCTTATAGAATGTGTTTGAATATTTTACTCCCTCATTTCAGCCGGTATAGTCTCACCTTTATATATATATATATATATGTATGTATAGGGTTGGGCGCGTACAAGAATTCGATAAGTCGTTAGTATAAAAGGTCAGTCTATGTTCACAGAGTGGAAAAGCTTTGGGTTATATGTTTTCGACGCTTGTAGATTGCACATTTAGACAGTAAGCGCGACTTCGCACGTAAGTCGACGCTTTAATCAGCGATGTTTATGTTTCTTTCGAACCTTATTTCGCACGCAATCTTTCCTGTTCTATACCGTTCTGGTTGTATCCACGCAAATTGATGATCCGAAAGATAATTGATGGGTAACGCTGATTCCGGAATATGTGAGTCTGTTTTGTCTAAAAAATGTATAGCCATTAATCGAATAGTCATTGATATAGTTGGCTGTATTATTATATTATGATGACGATTATATGCAAATGTTATATATACACAATGAGTTTTTTTAGGATGCGGAGCTCACACGAGTATATCGTAGCAACAGCAGTAGTTTCTGACAGTGATTGTATCGGCGACAGCACTCGCACCCTAAGACCGCAAATAATGGAACACAAACTGTGCTTTACATTCTTTACACTAATTAGAAGGAATAGCATCAGCTGTTGTGTGAGGTGGTTCCTTTTGGTCCCACAGGCTCGTTCCGCACTTTGATGGGTGCTATTTCCTCTAGTTTTGATTACCTTTCCGTTTAATTCAGTCATTTTCCTAGAAAAGGTCCATTCCTTCGATGGGTGGTCATTGAGTACCGACGCATCAGTCGATCACTTCGCTAACGTTCCCATCCATCGAGCATCTAGACTCAAAACAACCAGTGTCACATAAGGAACGTTCGACGGAAACGCTGAACAGATCTCATGCGAGATAGACCGTTTTGCCACTCTTGCTGGTTCTGTTTGAGCCGATTCCCAAATTCGAAATAGCAGCAACTGGAAAATTGCAGGCACATGCCACATCGAATAATGTCACTCACCCCCCAGCCGGCCGGGAAACCAAGAAGGAAGGTAGTAGTTTCGATTAGGAAGTAGTCGACAGCAGCATCTTGAACGAATTGTCTGCCTTTACAGGAAACCCAGTTACTGATCATCACTCTTATCATCGTTTCGACTCTTATTGTCACTTGGATACTACTTCATTTGCGGCGGCAATGAT